AGCGAAAAAAAATTTGGGGTCCATGAAATCAAAATCGGGGTCCACAATAGTGGATCTCAACACATACACTGATAGTACCTATTTACTTACATCATACTATCTTATAATATCAAAACATATACAAACAAACAGATACAAAATTTTATTTTGAGTAGTTTTACGGAATAACATGGCAAGGGGTCTACGACACAAAAAGTTTGGGGAACTCTGCTCTAAAGCAATAAACAACAAACACGTCCCATCATATTTATTTATTTCTAGAGATTGACATAGGCGTTATTTTTATTAATTACTTTATATCATTGGTATAAAATAATAATAAAAATATGAGCAATGTTGGCATAGTGGCTTTATCGTGTGATTCTCATCCCTGAGGTCGTAGGTTTGATCCCCAGCTGTGCACCAATTGACTTTCTTTCTATGTGCGCATTTAACATTCGCTCGAACGGTGAACGAAAACATCGTGAGGAAACGGCCTTACCTTAGACCCAAAAAGTCGACGGCGTGTGAGGCACAGGAGGCCGATATTACAGAGATATACAGAAATCTGAGCCCAACCCTAAAAAGGTAGCGCCACTGATTTATTTTTTAGACAATAATGTACGTAAATGTATTTTTTTATAAAAGCAGCGATATAAATCATCACACATTAGAATGGCACAGCAAATAACAGCATGAAAATAAAAATAAAATATCTCCAGTAGTCTGTTATAATATTTAAACATCTCTTTTAAATTGTACTAAATTATTAGATATTGAAGTCACATTGCGTTGTACCAATTAGATTACCTAAATAATATTGTATAGGAAAGATTAATGTGTGACACATTTCGACAGTAATTGAATTAATGGTTTATTTAAGTTCGTCTTTAGCAACATCTTTGCCTTATAAAGGCTGTATTTGTTAAGCGTTAAACAAGGTGTCACTTAGAATATAGCAAGATGGTGTAATAAATATTCTACCGCATTTCCTACGAGTGTTCAGAGGAGTTGTTCATATTAATACCTGCAGCTGAGTTTCATCATCGGACGTCGAGGCGGAATATGGAACTCCACCCGTATCACCATGACGTCTGTCGTTCCACAACTGAGAGTTTTTAGGGCAGTTTTTGCCAAGCACTACCACTATGTAGAAACTTCCCACTGAAGTATTTCCAAAGCACGAATTAGTTAGGGAGGAACTTAGGGTCTTTCAATAACAAAGCGTACCAATTTTCTCTCTTTCTGGACTCCTATCACTTATAGGTGAGCCTCCTGCCCGATTTTTTATATACTATAAAATAAAATAACACAGAGGTTGTCTTTCGTTATGTTTCTTATCCTAGGATTCACAGCTAATTGCACCCAAAGATAGTAGTAGACTGGGAGATTCTGGTAAAGGCATTTTTGATTAAAAACAACATTATTACAATTTAATTTGTACCAACAGTCTTTGTGAATGATTTAATTGATCAAATGTATTACAACAAATATAGATTTTTATTATAAAACTTCTGTGCTAGACAAATTTATTAGAAAAATTTATTAAAAATTTATTATTTGTCCAAATGCGAAATTATTCTGATGAACAATATCAGTCACTTATTTTGTTCACTTTCGACGTGAACACTTCTTTAAATTGGCATCTAAAAAAACTAATGAAAAAGTTGTTTTGCGTTGTAGTTTCGAATTTATTTTCTATATTCAAAATTTAATTACACCACTGCTAAAACATTGACTCAACGCGCGGTGGAGGGGGGAGCGCCGCCATTTTGATGTTATTTTGCTGCGTATCGAGATTTTGCTTTGTGTAACTTTTGAATCGGGGAAGTTAAGATATTCGTTTGAGTTTTAATCATCAGCTGTCGTCAAAATCTATCGTTACAAACGTATTCACGTATGACAGCCATTTTTGAAGTGAAACTTCTTTATCGGGGTTGGAAAAAAATTTAGTGTAACATTTTTGCGTTACGCGTCACATTTTTCCGTTACGCGCCATATTGCTTTTTGAAGTCAAACTTCTTAATCGGCGTTAAAATATGACATATAGTATGTTTTTGACTATGAAGTTTGACAACGGATTACATTTTCGAAGTCAAACTTCTTTATCGGCGTTAAAATATGACATATAGTATGTTTATGACTTTGAAGTTTGACAACTGATTACATTTTCGACTTGAAATTTGCTAATCGCAATTTGCAGCAATTAATTTGTAAATTGTATGCTAGGCAGTGTATCAAAATTTACTGTGTTTAAAGAAATAGTTTCTAATAAGGTCATAAAGAAGTTTCACTTCTTACGTGTGTACACCTAGTACACGCACACATTTTTTTATACTACAAACCAATTAGCTCGGATCTGTTGTTGATCTGTATGAGAATTCACAAATCTTTATTGGGTTTTGTTTATATAAAGTAACTAGTGGACCCCACAGACGTTGTCCTGCATGATATTTAAAGCGATTAGGATATTAAGCAAAGTATGAAAGTACCGACTGGAGTGCCATCTGCCGGGCTGATTTGTGAATCTAAACCATTCCCAGATCCCCTTGAACACACACAAAAAATTTCATCAAAATTGGTCCAGTCGTTTGAGAGGAGTTCAGTCACATACACACGCACACAAGAAATATATATATATTAAGATTTATGAGTATATTTTGGTTGCAGACCATTGAAAGACACGTGAGAAAAAATTTGGTGAACAAAATAAAATTATGATTTAAAAACACTTAGTGGTTAACAATTCTAAAATGTATTTTAATGTCTCTATTAATCATTATTAATATACTTTTGACGAAATTTTAATTAATGTTATATTAATTAAAAATGTTTTAGTAAGCGAAATGTCGTAACGTAGAAATACATTAACATTGATATTAATAAGCGTCCTTTAATAGTATTTTCACATATCTTTGGCACATGTTATGCGCCTACGCACAGTAAAGTTACCATAGTTACTGAAGTGTCAAATTTCAAACCACTGTGTTAACTGCCTATACCAACGACTTTGTCAAATATCACACTTAAATCCTTTTTTAATCAAAAAATCATAAAGTAACTTTAACACATTTTTGTTTTAAAAAAGACTTCAAGTTTAGGTATACCGCAAATCGTGAACAAATAAAAGGTGAACTTTAAAGATTATATGGAAAGGACGAAAGGAATGCAGGACATGAGGGCGCCCCATAAAAAGGTGAATAGAAGAAATAGAAGGGGAAGCAGGAAGCGAAAGGAGAAAGAAAGCCATGGACAGCGATAGTTGGAAAAAGCTGGAGGAGGCCTTTACCACCCGTGAAGAGGTTCCGATCGATGGTACTGAAAGTAAAGCATTACTTTTGTAATAATCAACGGGCTTTTTTTTTTTTTTTTAGGTAATAGGAGACAAACAGGCAGGAGGCTCATCTAATAATACAAATAATAAATAAATTATTAATTTTCGAATAAATCTATCTAGCGCTAAAGATTTATAATATAAAATCTTTATTATCAAACTATAGCAAAGCATTTAGTGTGTAAATAAGTATCGCAATACAGCGAGGAAATGCTGCCAGCGTGGTACACTGCCACAGGGACCAAACTTTGTCAAGTTATTATATATATGTTTTTTATTAATTATCTTTATTATTACTATGTAGGTTAAGAAAAATGTAAGTACTACACAACTTATGTAATGCATTTGATCCATTATTCAGGATCCACCAAGACTCTTGGTGGATATTAAATTTGTCTTAAGGAGCTTCATATTCAATAATTTCTTTAATAGAATCTCCTAGTCTACTACGAGATCTAGACAATCTTTTTGATTTTTTTATTTGGTTCTATGGAAAAGGGGTCAAACGGGCAGGAGGCTCATCTGATGTTATGTAATATCGCCGCCCATGGACTATCACATTGCCAGGAGGCTCGCAAGTGCGTTGCCGGTCTTTCAAGAATTGGTACGCTCTTTGCTTGACGCTCTAAGTCGAATTGTTTCGGAAATACTTCAGTGGGCAGCTATTCTTACTAACGCAAATCGGGTGGCAGATACTTGCGTGTAAAATAACCGTAGCCCTATTTTTTGAAGGTTCAACATTCACTGCTGTCGGACAGTACCACCAGGCCATAGGCAAGATAAACAAATGCAGAATGACCCTCGCCCTTCTACCGACATTAAATGGGCATATTGTTGGTAAAGTACTAAGAAAATTCAATTTGTCCATAGTTTCCCCATTGTAGGTCGTTAATCGTAAAACAGTCGTTACATTCGGTTAAAGGTATTAAATTTGTATGCAATAGGCGTCCATAGAAGTTGTGCTTTGCTAATTCAATACTAAAAACGATTAAATTTATGTTTAAAAGTCTTTTTACAATATATTGCTGTTGGTCTGAAGAGCACGAAGCGCTCTGAATAATGGGGTTTTCCATATAGAAAAGCTGATATATATATTCTATATATAATTTCTATATATATAATATATAAGTTTATTATATATTCTATATATAAGTAGGACCTCATATGGAATGCTGCTCACATCTCTGGGCTTGTGTAAAGGCTAGCGAAGGGTTGTCGAATTGTCAATCTCCAACGTATATATACGTAATATTATCTTATATACGTAGGTATATAAAATTATCTTTAATACACTCAGATAGATACAGGATGTAGATTTTTTTAGTATAATAAGTCAACTTTCTTATGAAAACGCAAAATAAATTATAACTCTGCAGAGGTTGAGTTTAAGGACCTCCCTTAGAATATTTTTTTGCAGCTGATGTCCTAATCTTTGGCAACCCTGTATATAGTCTATCGTTTGAAAAATGTAGGAAGAATCTCTACAGCTGTCCATTTGTCTAACTGTTAACCCAATATTTATAAGAATTACTAGTTGCGAACCTGTTGTGGGGCATCAATATAGTTGTTAGGTTGCTTTTTTAAGAATGAAGAACTTTTTAACATGTATCCCAATCCCACATCGCGACAAACCTCATTGTTAGGGACACGGTTCTAGTCGATATGTTTGTCCGTGTTTTGTTAGCAGTTAACTCTTATGATAACCATTCCTGTAGCGACCACCTGTTTGCAAGAGAAAACGGTCTGATTGCGTTTGTAGGATGGAGTATGAAGAACATCTGCTAAATCTTTGCCGAACCAACTTCGACTTAGGGTCACGTGCACGACATGTGCCGGATGTGGAGCAGAATCCTAAAAGTCCGGTACCCGCACGAGCCAGCTTTGTTGCAATGAGAAAACCCTGGGTGCAGAATGCGTTAATAGCATAGGAGTACCTGTGGCCTCCATCTACCCAAAAAAAGCTGTCAAACACTTCCGAACCAATTAGACCGGCTTCGAAGTTGGACGAAGCCTCAAGAAATATGATGGAGAAATACTTGGGCAGCGGTATCAGCCTTAACATCAGAGGAGCTGTACCTGTGTTGATGTAATATTTTTACTTGTAGAAAAACAGTCGAAATTTTTTTTACCAATATCTAGACTGATTCATTACGAAGGTTTTGACATGTCACGTAACCAGGCATTCAAAGGTGGGGCTGGTCATTATAAACTTTTAGAATAGTATAGATTTGTATCTACATTATGAGCTACGTATATCTTAATTCCGCACTTAAATATAACGCGAAATCTAAATTCAATTAGTGGGTGAACAAACGTTCTTTATGGCAACACTTGGAAACGTCAATTAGGGTTTTATGAGTACTAAAATATCGCCGTCCTTGTCTGTCGTATGGCTTACGAAAGTAAACGATAACCTCAGATCTTTTGTGAGAGATATTACTTAGAGTTATATTAATATTACCTAATCTGTACTCGGGCGAAACTACAAAATGGGTCTTAATAGAAAATTATGAGCCACAATCGTACCACATTTATTAGTGATTGGTCATCGAATATTATTGATAACTAACTTAGGAAATAATTTCCTTCAAGGAAAGAGTGTACCACTTCTTAAAAGGCCGGCAACGCACTTGCGAGCCTTCTGGCAATGTGTATGTCCATAGGCGGTATCACTTAACAACAGGTGAGCCTCCTGCCCGTTTGCCTCCTATTACATAAAAAAAAATTGGCCCCGCGAATTTCGTTTCTCCTTAATATGATTTTTTTACTTAGCCTACCTTTTTAACATACCAACATGATGAAACTATGCATGTTGCACATACAGAGTTCTTGCTCTACGGGTTATCCGAGGGGAATGCATTTGCGGACCCGACCCAAGTTACAACCAGAATCTCTGCTATTCAGAGACCGGGTGAGCAATACCCACTAAAACCACCTCGCAGAGCCTACAAAGCCGCATTACAGAGGCTCCAGGGACGCTTTCTACTAGGGCTAAAAGGAATGTCGATTGCCAACGACTTGCAATTACCATCCTCGGCCTATACTGTTACAGATATCCTAAACCTCACAGTCTATTTTCTTAGGTGGCATACTCACTGCTTGCCTTAGAAATTCGACCGTGCCCTCCATGTACGGCTACCTCGCACAACCCTCCCAAAATCGAACACAAATTTAAATTTAAAGAAATATACTTGAGCTCCGACCGGGAATCGAACCTGATACCCCTCACCTAACGGGCACTTAATAAGACCGCTAGGCTATGAGGCCCTTACGGAATAAAAATTTTAATTTTTCCAATTTTTCTCTCCTTTAAAACCTTCCTCAGGGTTCAAGGAATAAATTAATTAACAATTTATCTTTTTTTTATAAGAATAATCCAGTGGCGCTACAACCAGCGCATGTAATTTATATTGCTTTAAAGTATATTGGAAAACATTTCTAGAAACATCTAGCAAAACACACAATCAGACTTTCATATTAAATACTTTGTTTCACATTTCTCGAAGCACCGCGATAAAGGTAACCGTTCACAGGTTATAAAATATATTATTGTGTACATTCTTAGAGACATTTTAAAATGTCTTTAAATAAAATTAAATTAATCAACCGTTCTTAATTAAAACTTAAAACTCATTAATAAAAACTGTTTCACGCCGTACTAAATGACAACTTACTATAAACCAATAACAATTTTTTTCCTTTCGATAATATAGTCTTCAAAAGTATAGGAAACAACTATTAAATACTAAATGAAAGTAAAAAATCGTTTTTCATTATACACAGAGATACAAATATTTAGATAATAAAACGAATAATGAACATTGTATTAAGTTTTATTTTTGGTATTAAATGAAAATAAATTTAAAAGTAATAGTAATATACTTAAATATTTTTTTCATTGTACCATATTTAGTTGCTGTTGATCTGTTCTTTTATTCATATTAAAAAAATAGTCGCGTTACAACCATTTTAGGTCTGGGCCTCATATTTCTGTTTCATGATCTTTTGTTAATCTAATGGGCAAGTAGGTGATCCTGTGCCTGACACATACCGTCGACTATTTGGGTCTAAGGCAATCGGGTTTCCTCACGTGTTTTCCTTCACCGTTCGAGCGAATGCTAAATGCGCAATAAAGTAAATTGGTGCACAGCCGGGGACTGAACCTACGGCCTCAGTGATGACTGTCGCACGCGTAAGCCACTAGGCCAAAACTGTTTTTATATTTTTGATATTATTGATAATACTTGTACAAAATAATTTCGTTGTTTCACGTCACAATTTTTATATCGTAGTGAGAGCAATGCTTTATGCAACTAAGTTGCTAATTGATTAATCAATATAATCGCCCAAAGGCGTTTAATTGCTCGCTATTATCGACCTTCTGTGTGTTAAACATCCGTCATTACATTTTGCTTTGCATTCTATAAAAAATAGTACCGGGATCGTTCTATATTTATTTTTATTCATAAAATCCTCACAGACTAAGCCAGAACGATAGTATCGAATTAATAATTAAAAATAAAAATATTTTGAACATCTATAGCGAAGGAAAGGTTCAGAAGTGCGTTGCTGACCTTTAACATCAGGGATATATTCACAAAGACGTGGCGAATAGGTATCTCAAATGACATTTCTCGGCTGGCTTATGAAATGGTTAAAGGTTGCTGATCACCCAAAAAACCTTAATAAAACAAATGCACGATAAGACCGTGCAATTTCTGCATTAATTAATTTAAATATTTTAACATTAATCTAATTAATAATTTAGCTTAATATTAATAATTGAATTAACTTGATTGTTTTGCAAAATTAATATTAGCATTAAGTTCTCATGAAATTTTAACTTTAACTTACAATAGCGATAGCGATCCCGACATTTTTGAATGCTATTTCCACATTTGCGGATGTGTCCGTAAGCTTATGATCGCGGTGTAGAATAACTGAACACACAAGTCAGTACAGCTTTTGCTATAAGAGTTACAGAGCAAAGTAAAAAAGACATAGTTAATATTTTGCAGTCGTATTGTGATACTATAATAATAATAATAAAAAACTACTAGCATAATACAAAATTTGTGTAAAAATGTACTGTTTCCGCCCGGGATCGAACCGGGGGCCTTGTGCGTGTGAAGCACACGTGATAACCGCTACACTACGGAAACTTGACAGTTGTTAACAAAATTAGGTATCATATTATCTTTAGTACGCAATGGTACTACGACGCGTATAAATTACGAGTAGTATTTTTTATTTATAAGTTCTAAAACAATGTGTATGCATAAAATTATACGAATCCGAAGATCTACCAATTCCTAATGTACATTCACAAATTATATAGGAAAACTTCCACATATACTCCGTTTGTAACAAAAATGTTTTTTTATCCTTATGATGAGATATTCAGAGATATACGTTATGTTTTTTTTTAAAATTTTTTTAAGTAAGAGGTATAGTACTTTTCTATTTATACCTTTATAATACTATGTACCTGTTTTGTCAATAGTTCATTAAATAAATAATTAAGATTACTCATTGTTTTATTCCTAAAACCAACATCTAGCAGCTGCACAGAGTGAGTAAAACCCGCATAACCAAGCAACCCGAATGGTAAAAGCTCGAAAACGTCGTATTTTCAGAAATTCCGACTTTTACCAACTAGTGTCGGTAAATCCTAAGACTTACACTTAAATCTTAAGATTAACCGTAGTTCGAGCTTTTACAGTAACATATGCATAAAATTATACGAGAAGATATGACATCACAAATTATACACACATATGCGTCTATTATATTAGAACAAAAGCAAGCTAGCAAGGGAAAAAATAAACAAGCAACCACAAAATATAAAATAAATAAAACTGAATAGAAACCTTAACCTCATTAAGAGCGCGATACACAAAGTTACGGTAGTAGGAAGATTGTTGAAAATTATATCAATATTTTCATCAATGTTGTTTTTGTTAACATTGATTTGATTATCAAACTCGGATACAATCCTAATTGTAAGAACCAATTAAAAATACTAATAGACTACATATGGAATCCGTTTATAGGTTTCGTATCAAATATATAAAAAAAATATCCTCTTTCTTACGCAGAATTAATTTAAAAAAAAAGTCCATTTGCTGATGACACAGGCCTTCTCCAACCCCTTTCTGCCCTTACTCGCCAAACTTTTGACCAAACCTTGCCTGCAACCAGTTTTATTTCATCTTCCCATCTCTTATACTGTCTGTCTTTTTGCCTTTTTACATAATAGACGCGGATTAGGAACCCCATCTTCCAAATTAAAAAAGGAGTATGTTCTCTTCTTGCCTTCTTCTCTTCTTCTATTTGTTTTCCATGGGTTAACACTATGACCTCGTTACAGTGCCGTGGTTTTGTAAACGTCGAATCCATGTTCTTATAACAGTTAAAAATTGGGAATTTTAAAGAACATTAATTTATTTATACCATTACATCTGCTTAGGAACTATTTTACCTGCGTTCGATTAATTGGGAACCGAAGAAGTATTTTTCAATCTTCCAGTGTTACATGATGATGCACTCTCAATGTGAGATTGAGCGGCGGTTGGCGGTTTTCACAGTAATACTACAACTCAAAACCATATTTCAGTTTTCTTGCACTTTTAACAGAAGTACTCTTTCATCTCTTTCTGTCAAACTGTGTTCACGCTGAGATAAAAAGAGACGGGTTAAAACGGTGTATTTTTATTTATAAGGGCGTAAAGTATATAACAGTACTAGTTCTTGTACTCGCTTTCCTAATCAGTACAGTGCCGTATCGTAAGCGCTTGAGCATTTAAATACCATATCTACGTTTACCATTTCCATACATTAGTGTCAAAGTGAAATATTATCACAAGATTGAGCGGCCTATATAAGAATGCACATCACATTAACATAAGACAGCTTCCTTTAGTGCGATGCCTAACAAGGAAACTGCGCGTGCGAGTAGGGCGACTAACTTTTTAGTACTAATCAGGTTTTTGATGTTATTTGACGAATATCCACTATATTGGATTATTCATACAACGAGTTCTATGTACTATTATTTTTCAC